TGTGCTACTGAATTCAATTTGAGAAATTTTGCTTCTATCTTCATCAAGGATATTACTCTATAGTTTTTTGTTGCGTCCTTGTCAGCTTTCAGTAACAGGGTAATACTTGCCTCCCAGAATGAGTTTGGAAGGCTTCCCTGTCATTAAATTCTGTGGAATGGTTTGAGAAGCATTGGTGTTAGTTCTTTTGAAGTTTGGTAAAATTCAGCAGTGAAGCAATTGGATCAGGGGCTTTTGTTTTGTTGTCACAGTCTTTATTACTAATTTGATCTCCTTACTTGTTATTGGTCTATTTGGGTATTTTATCTCCTCTGAGTTCAATTTTTCTAGGTCACGTATGTTCAGAAATTTGTTCATTTCTTCTGTTTTCCCATTTGTTAGCATTAGTTTTCATTGTAATACCTAATGATCCTTTATATTTAGTGGTATCAGTTATAATGTCTCCTTCTTTATCTCCAATTTTATTTATTCTGGTATTCTTTTTTTTTCTTAACAATTTTTTTTCAAATCTTTTCTTTGCTTTCAGAGACCCAATTCTGTTTTATGACTACTTTATATGTATTTTTTAAAGTTTCTATTTTGTTGATTTCTCTTTAAAAAAAAACATATTTTGGCATTAGATGGACACAGTATCTTTGTTTATTTATCTTTATGTGGTGCTGAGGATTGAACCCAGTGCCTCACACATGTGAGGCAAGCACTCTACCACTGAGCTCCAGCTCTAGCCCCTATTTCATTAATTTCTGTTGTGATCTTTGCCATTTCTTTCCTTCTACCAATTATGGGTTTGCCTTTTTCGTGCTTTTCTAAGTCCTTGGTGTTCATCCTTAGACTGCTTATTTGAGACCTGTTTTTTTTTTTTAATGTAGATAATCATTGATATATGTCCCTTAGTTGTGCTTCTGCTGCATCCCACAGGTTTTGGTATGTTATTCTGAAAAATTTAAATATCTCTTCTGACTTCCTTGATAATATGCTGTTCATTCAATAGTGTTTTTGTTCAATCCCTATGTGTTTGTATAATTTCTAATTTTTTTATGATCAGAAAAAATACAGGATATAATTTCACTTTTTTGAATTTGTTAAAACTTGTTTGACCTAAAGTGTGGTCTATTCTATAAAAAGTTCCATGTGCTGTTGAAAGTGTATGTATTCATGAGCAGTTGGATGGAATGTTCTATTAATGTCTGGTAAGTCCATTCTATCCACATTATAGTATAATTCTGATGTTCGCTAATTTTTTGTTTGGATAATATGTTCATTGATGAAAGTAGGGTGTTAGGCTCCAATACAACAACAGTAGGGAGTTTTCTCTGTCTTTAGGTTTAATAGGGTTTTATAAAATTGGGTGCTCCAATATTCAGTGTTTATAGATTTATAATTATTCTAAGTTCATGTTGAATTGATCTCTTGGTCATTCATTATATAGTGTCCTTCTTTCTCTTATAGTTTTTATCTTAATATCTCTTGTCAGACATAAGTAGACCTATTCCTGCTTGCTTTTAGTTTACATTTTCTTAGAATATCATTTTCTATCCTATCACCTTTCAGTATGTATGTCTTGTGAAGTGAGTTTCTTATAGGTATATTATTATCTCTTGTTTTAATGGAATTTATGCTTTTACATGCTTTTATGATAGTAGTTATCTTTCTTTCCTTTATGGATGTAGGACTCCCTCATGTATCCTGTTAAGGCTGGGTTAGTGGTCATGAATTCTCTGTTTTTGCTTGTATCTTATTAATTTCCAAAGGATAGACTTGCTGGCTATAGTATTCTTGGTTGGTAATTATTTTTAAGACTTGGAATATGTCATTCCATCTCCTTCTGGTCTATAGGGCAAATTTCTGCTGAGAAATTTTCTGTCAAAATAATGGAAATGACCTTAAATGTGATTTTTCTCTTGTA